CCTGGTGGAATTAACATTATCACATAATCACATTTTCAAAAAAAAAAGAACCGAAGGCAGTCTGAAGAGGGCGAAGGTAAGATCTGAGTGCAGGTAAGATCATCTGAGAGATTTACTCAATGTGCGAAATCTGTTCGCTGATTTGAAATGATAGTACTTAATTACTTGATTTTGTGATTCCGATTTGAAATTGGGTAAAATACTTTTTCCCATCCGAACTATCACGGTTTTGGCGCATCACCATATAAACTATTTTTTTTTACAAACCACTATATGAACTATACGGGTTTGTCAATATGCCCCCTAAACCGGATATAAAAGTGGTTTAGAGGGCAGATTGACAAACCCGTGATAGTTCATATGGTGGTTTGTAAACGTATTTAGGGGGCACATATGGTGACCAAACAGCTTTTTCAGTCAAAACCACTTTTATATCTGGTTTAGGGGGCACATTGACAAACCCGTATAGTTCATATGGTGGTTTGTTAAAAAATATAGTTTATATGGTGATGCGCCAAAACCGTGATAGTTCGGATGGAAAAAAGTATTTTACCCTTTGAAATTTGTTCGCGAAATGACTTCGCAGAATTTTTATTCTGAAATTTACTATTTTTTTTATTCTGATTTGAAATTTCTTCGCTGATTTGAAATGACTGTGATTGGACAGATTGCAATTTGTTTTCTGATTATCTTTCGCTGCGATCTGCTTGGATTCTATTTATGGTTTATTGATTTATTATGAAATCAGATTTAGGGCTAGATAGGTTAGGGTTTTAATCGACTCTGTTTCTTTAATTGCCTCTGTGACACTGTTCGAGATTACAATAAATCTGATTTAGGGATAAATATAAATCTGATTTAGGGATAAATAGGTTAGGGTTTTAATTAACTCTTTTTTTTTTTAATTGATTCTGTTTCACTGTATGGGAATAAATCTTGTTTAGGGCTAAATACGGATAAATAGGTTACTAATTTTTTTAAAGATTTTTTTTATGAGATAAAAAAGAAAAGATAATATTGATGTTAAAATACATAACTTGAAACAATTGTTTATAATTGTGTAATTTATAATTATTGTGAATTATTATTAATTAGTATTAACAATAATTATTATATAGTATTATAGAAACATACATGATTACACTCGTTAACATGTATTAATATGAGAAATAAAAAAAATATTAATGACAAATTTTGTAACCGAAAATAGAGGGAAAATTTTAGAAGTTTTATTAGATATTTTATTAAATGGTATTAACTAGCAATTATATATATATAGATTCTTGATAAATCCCTAACAACTTTTACAACTTCTCTTTCAGTCCCTAGTTCTTTTTTCTTCCTCCTTCTTATAATCTTCTCTTTCTTATTCGCTCCCCATATATATATATATACTAAGATTATTATTATTCAACTATTTCGCTAGAAAATTATAAAAAATTAGAAAAATTCAGCTCTCTCGTTCCCGTCCCTCTCTCTCTCTCTCTAGATTTCAGATCGTTGTTCCTCTCTCTTTCTCTTCCGTTCGTCTCTCTCTATCTGAATTTCATCGTCGTTCATCTCTCTCTCTCTCAAGTCGCCGTTCGTCTCTCTCTCCGGCCATCGTATGAAGCTCAGCCCGCCACTACCTCCATGAAGCTAATTTGTAAGGAAATTTTGTTTCTTATGGGAGCAATTAGGAAGAGATATCAAGCTAATTAATTGCTTTCTTTTACAGATTAATTTGTAAGGAATTACTTTTCTATGTTCCCCTAATTTCTCCCAAACCCTTTATTTTTGAGATAAGTGTTTTCAAATTTTGAAATCCCTAAAAGTCGGTTTATCACTTAATATTTTTTCGATCTCTTTGGATATTAGGAGAAGCCTTGCGTGTGTGAAGGAGTGGGAGACAAAATAGAGGACAACAAAAATAAGGAAAAAAAAAAAAAACAACTGAAATATCCTCTATGATGTGTGTGCTATGTTAAGGTGAAGGTATAAGGTAAACAGGAAAAGCAAAAGGTAAAATAAAACTATGTAAATGTGTGTGGGATGTTAGTGTACTGGGCATGCTTTGTGAATGTACAGGATGGCTAATGTGAATATTTGTCGAAAAACAAGTGTTGTGTGCAGGAAAAGCAGAAGAAAAAAAAAAAAAAGAGCTGAGAAATTGTGAAAAAATACGGAGAGTATTTTTGTGTATCATCTTCGTGATTTTTTCGGGTTTTGATTTGTGCAAGGCTTTGTGCTACCGAAAGGTTAGGGTGCCGGTGGTTCAAATGGCCATCACCTGAAGCTAGATTCGTTGTGATTCTCATGTGTTTAATTATACGGGGTCTGAGCCTGAGATTTCTTCAACAAGTTTTAACCACGATTACGTTGATCCTCTTGTATTTAAATTATTGGTTTGTTTCCCTTTTTCGCAAGAGTACTCTGTTGGTTTTCTCTTTTGTTGTCTGGGCCCATTTTGTGTCTGTTCAGATTTATTTGTTGTTGCTCGGGCACGTTTTGCAGCTGTTCGGGTCCTTAGGTTGTTGTCCGGACTGTCGCTGTTGATCGGAGATAGCTAGAGTGTTGTCCGGGACCGTTTGGCTACTGCCCGTGACTGATCGTGGTCAGCCCGGGACTAACTGGAAGCTGTTCGGGCTTTATTGGGCTGCGCATTAACTTTGAAGAGTGTCGCCGCTTCAAATGGGGCTTCGACAGGTGGATACCCAAACGTTTCAAATGAAATCAAATGCAAATTAAGTGCATCATTTGTTGGATGCCCTCAATCCACATCTGCTTCTCCCCTTTGTTCCTCCACTCGAACTCGATCACTCTCTCTTCTGTTTGCTAGGCGAAGTACGACGACATCTCGGTTTCTCGTCCAGGCCATACTCGAGTATCAATGTATACCTGAAACTATGCCTGCAATGGCCCTCCCCTGTGCTTGCTCTTCGTTTTAGCTACCACCTGTTTCATTTTTAGTTTAGTTTATTTTTATTTTTCCTTTTTTTTTAGGACTTACATGGAAGGAGACAATCACAAAATTACATAGAGAAGAAGCAAAATGTGTTAACCGCATGCTCTAGCTATTTTGACCTGCCAGTTTGAATTTATGTTGACACTTGACAGAGACTTGCTTTCAGTGCAGGTCCCTGCATTTTTAATGCCATTATTATTATTATTATTATTATTATTATTATTATTATTATTATTATTATTATTATTAATTTTCAATTCCAGTAGTTTGTTTAATTGATTTATGTTTTGGTTTTTTTTTAATTTGATTCCTAATGATACTTGTTTTCTTAATATTACCGGATTTTTGCTGTAAAAGTATTCATTTCCCAGTAGTTAGTACTCATTTAAGAAAGTTGTGTTTTAAACTGATACCAGTTTCTATTTGAACTAGTACCTATTTTCTTCACATTAGTACCAATTTTATGGTATTTTAGTACCGGATATTGGGTCTTCTGTACCACTTGTAATGAACATATAAAAACACGGAAATAATCACTCTCACATTAGCTTATATGAGATTTAAAAAAAAATTAATTAAGTTTAATCACAAATTGGTCCTGAATTCGACACACTAATAAGAAAACACTACTAGAGTAAGAAAATGAATGCATGTTTTAGCGAAAATAGTACCACATGTTCTTCTACATGATACTTGTTTTTAATAGATTAGTACCTATTTTTGTGTAGAAAAATGAATTATTTCAATTTTGGTCAACATTTACAAAAAATAGTACCAGACATAGAGTAAGATAGTACCAGTTTTATATTGTTGTGGTACCTGACATTGGGTCTTTAGTACCACTTGTAATGAACACATAAAACCGAACAAAACCGAACCG